CCCATGAATGCATGGATTCTGGGTCTGTCTGTGGGGCGAGCCGTGGCACAGTGGTCGTGAAGGATGAAGGGACAATCCCTTTTAGAGCAGTGGTACCTCGGGCCAAACCCTAGTTCTTTGCAGCCACTGCATTTGCATGGTCGTCCTTCTCTTTTCAGCACTATTGGATGCTGAAGATGATATGGGTGATTCATCGTCGTCGCCATGCCCCTTGATCCTTTACTTTCTTCTGCTTATTCTTGACGAGATTAGCGTTATTTCTCTTCAACCTTCCTGAGCTTTATACATAATGTTCTTTGGGAAGGGGCGGGGGTGGTTGCGCGGAAGATGCCAGCAAGTTTAATTTCTTCTCATATAAAGACACTCTACTGGTCGTATGAGCGTCGCGACTGAGGTGGCATTGTCAAATTAGATACTCTTTCTATACCATAATATAAGGCATTTTTTAGAAACCTTACTTGATCTAAAATATAAGATATTGAATAATTTTTATAATTAATTTTTCAACTATATTCCTATTTCATTTATTAATTTTTTTTAAAAAATGATGTATTAGAATTTTAATTATCATTATCAAGACACTTATAATGGATGTTTAATGAGTAAATAATAAAAAAAAATTATAATTTTTTAAGAAATTAAAATTTCAACTAATATTTTTAAAAATTGTGAATTAATTACCAATATCCTATACTGTGATTTGAAAGGAGTAAGTATTATATTTGTACCAAATTACTAAAGTCCCATGCATCGTATATAACAATTTTTTAAATATGTGACATTTATCATTGATAATTAATTTTTGCAGAAAAATCTTTATCATAAGAATAACTTGTAACAAATATATTTTCCGTATTATCCTATACAAACCATAATCAATAATGTTGATTATGCACAAATAGAGTATAATAAATAACTTGTATAAAAAAGGAGTATAATAAATGACGTTGTAAATAGATACAATATAAAACATACTAAGGAAATTTCATAATTTTATAGGTCAAATTATCAAAGAGTTTCCTATAAATAATATATTTAAAGTTATGTCAATTAATCGATCATGTTTAACAAGAACCAATATTATTTTTAAACGTTCTATGCTTTGAACACAAGAAATAACCTGCAAATGACCATGAATAAAAATGAGACGAGGCAGACAGATACAAATTAATGGTCATGGCAAGGCTAATATAATAGAAATCTGTCTCATTGTTGACGAAATAAAAAAAATATAATTATAAAATTGACGTATATCATTGTTGTTTAGGCTTTTTCGCCAACAAATGTTGACTACCAAATATATCTTGGGCGCTTTCTATTGACTAACAAATGTTGCCAATGCTTAATTAGGTCCACACGCATTTACTAGTGGTTGCGCTATAATAAATTAATCCCTTTGAAATGAATACGACGGTAATCCTAAAAAAATACATTCAAATTATATCTCTAATGTATTTTTGTTAAATTCAACAAATACTTAAATTTTTTTAAAAAATAAAATTTTGTATCCTTGCATTTTTTTTGTCAGTGTTCTAGGTTTCGATAACATTGCTTGTGAAGAGTGACCTTGAACATCAAAAAACAAAAGTATGAAAACCTTGAACACAAAAAAAAAAAAGTGCAGAAACCTAAAATTATTTTTTAAAAATTTTTTATATAAATTTTTTTTCAAATAAAAACTGAAAATCAAACAAGCACGCAATCCCATTAGTAACAACTTGACATTTGTTTGAACATAGAATTTTCTTTAACTGAATTGTATTGATTGCTAACTTAATGTGATTTAATATCTCGAATGTGACAAATTCGATGTTTATCATGATTTACATTCTCAAATAGACTTACATTATACAGCACTCTTGCGTCTTCTCCCAAACTCCCTACTTATAGAAAAGATCGGTTCATATTAATGCTTTAATATCAAAAAGGACTAATCACATCAAAACAAGTCGATACAGTGAAACTATAATTAATGTGTGTGTCTCCCTACGGGTTCGTTCCTTGCAACCCCTTCGTGTGTGTGTGTTTGCGTTTTTTTAATTATAATTACCATCTCCTATATACTGTTGGGCTCACATAAAGATATTGGTACATAATGTGGAGGATAAAATCAAAGGGTTAATTAACAATAGAGAGATTGATTAGCTCTTAAGAAAAATCGAGGAATTTGAGAAGCAAGAGCAGCGAAAGAACCATTGAGTGCGTCAAATTAGGAAGGGGCCAAAATTTCTATGCTCAAGAACGATCCCTAAGATCCAGCCAAACAAAAAATTTTAAAATAAATTGTAAATACTAATTTAGACAATTACATATAACAATCTTACTTGCGAACTGAAAATTATGTTTAGAATTTAAACCTTTTATCTATCAATAAAATTCCTTAATTTGCAACTATTTTTTAAAAAAAAATTAATCAGAGATCGAACTATAATTAATTCCCTCTTTTGAAATTAATTATGTTCCATTTAATAACATGGAAGAGTTTTTAATGGAAGTAGAGGTGAAAGTGAAAATGAAAATATAAGTGGGTCTAAAAGTATGTTTAATATGGGGATAGAAGTGAAATAAAAATTATATTTAATTAATATGGTTGTATGTGTCAAAAAGACCAAAACATCCCTGAAATTAAAAAAAAAAAAAAAGTCTGTCATCTTCATTGTTCATCATCTAGCCTCCACCACATCTGATAACACCTAAACTGGAAAACTCTCCACCAGATCGAGAACTATGAACGATGAAGAAAGAGATAAGCATGACAATAAATTTGTGATTGCAATCAACTAGAAAACGATGGGCAATAGCAATAAAATATGACGAATTTGAGTCATGTGTAAAGCAATTATCAAACAAATAACTACTCATCATATTCCTTATTTTACTTTTCATCTTCATCAAAAGAACCAGAAGAAATTTCGTTTCCAACTTCTCAGACATTTTCTAATGGAATTTGGAAACAAGAGGATGACGTCCTTCTAGGCATTTTCATTTAAATGTTCATCGTCTTCGTGCTTGAATGTTGCCAAACTCAGATCGAGAAGCAAGGGAGGATGAGGGATCAGGAAGCCATTGTTAGAACTTGAAAGATTTCATAGTTCACCAAGAAATCAGAAATAAAGCTGAGAACTGAGATATAAGAAGGTTCAGGAGGAAGCGCTGCCAGATGAGGAGGAGGATGCGCCGGAGGGGGAGACATCACGATTCACGATGGACTGTGAGATGATGAGATTGGTGTTTTAGAGTTTCTAGAGATTTCTAATGAGGAGATCTGACGAAGGGGAGAAGGAGGCTTGAAGCTTGAAGCATGAAGGTTCAGAGTTAAGCTCGATGCTCGAAGCGTCAGAGTAGGTGGCCGTTGGTCCGAGGAACTGGAGAGACAAATTATGTTCAGAACTTTGGAGGGGCAAAATTGTCAATTGATAAAATATACAAGGGTATAGTAGTCCGAAAATCTCACTTCAATGGGACTCAAACCAATTCCACCGAGTAAGGGGAGGAATTCAATTCCATCAAATTTGATGGAAGTGGATTCCAACTTACCAAATAACTCATTTTTAAAATTTTACTTGTACTTCTCTAAACTCAATTCCAGCATATCAAATGAGATATTAGAAAAAATAATAATTAAGGATTTTATAAAAACATTAATGATAGTTATAATTTTTAAATTATTAAAATCATAATAATAAATCATGATCTTTACTTGCAATTAAAACATGCAAGTAGTCAGTTGGAAAATTAATAAAAGATAATTGAAATTACTTATAATGTTAGTTCAAAATTCACAAGAATCAATTATAAATCTCAAATTTTTATTGTCAATATATAAATAAATCATATGAAAAACTAAGAAAACACATTTGAAATTATTTATAATGTTAATTGAAGATATACAAGAATCACAAGACTTTTTTTTATCAATTTATAGATAAATCATTTGAGAAATCTACAAAATTAACTTGAAATTTATAAGTCAGATATAAATTATAAGCCAATTGTGATTTTCTACTATAGGTTGTGAATGAAAAATATATATATATCTATACATATATGAGAATAACCTTTATAGCATTATTTAGGAATTTATAAAATATATATATATATATATATGAGAATGAAAAAAAGCCAATTTATAAAAGCCAAATAACAAAAGATAATTTATTACAAGTAAGAATCTTATATTGAGATTTTCATAATTGGAAGTCTTGTCATTAATGTTCTTATGGAATCCCTAATTGTCATTTTCCAACTAAATTAATTGAACTATTGAGATAAACTCTTACGTTCAGTCAGTTAAATTGGTTTCTCATTAAATTCGAATATCTTTCCCCGTTCTCATGAAAACGCTCAGGGTTAGGGGAACAAAGGCAATCTCAGGTGTTAAGGGTTGAGATAATTTAGGGTAATATTTAATATATAGTAACGTGAAAATTCTCTTGCCGGAATATATTACAGAGGTTCAATTTCAAACCCATGAAAATTCTGGAAGCCTCTCGCTTTCAAATCAAGAATGATTTTTATATACACAAATCAAAATGAAAAAAATAATTTTATTAACAAAAGTGCAAAAAAGTACAACCCAAATGCATGCCAAGAGACCACATGGGCAATTGGTAGAGACTTGTATCAATTATCTTGACTCTCGAAAGTTTGACACACAAAGTACTCATATTATACAAACATATATGACTTAAGCATAATGAGCAACATAAAAACACAATCACGTAAACCTCAACCGCTGGGTCCAAAGCCTATTATTCTAACAAGTTTTCAACGAGGGCAGCAAACAATGGAGTTGGATTTCCGAATAAAACAGATATTATGACGCTGAATCCTACTTTCATCATTTTGATCAACGCACGGGTGACTGATAATCTAGACGACCTTCTTCTTCTTCTATCCATGGCCAACGAGCTTGTAGCTGATAAAGTTTCACTTCTGATGACCAAGCTTGAAGAAGAAGAGTAGGAGGAGGAAGAAGCAACATTGAAATAACCCTTTTCCTAGTTCTCCAGGATCAAAGTCTTCACACAATAAACATGGTAGCAATAGTTTCCACAAGACGACACATAGGACCACCCTCTGAAAGCCTCCTTGCTCTGAACGTTATTTAGACCCTTCCTCTTGCATTTCACACATTTAGAGGGCACTTTGTCTTTTAGATTCAGCTCCACAGTGCCGTTAGGATCAGATATGGTTCTCTTTAGGTTCATGCAACAAGGATGCAAATCAAAATTGTGTTTGGAATATTGGTCTTGATACAGAAACCCTCGGACGTCTTGCCCGCAAGCGTCGCAATATCGGCGGTTCGGTCCGCCCGGCGGTTCCCAGAGGAAGTCAAACCGGCGGTTCCCCATAAACAGGTGGATTCTTGGGCGGTCGGTGGGGCGAACCGTGGCACAGTGGTAGTGAAGGACGAAGGGACAATCAGTTTCGTGGCACTGGTACCTTGGGCCAAACCCTAGTTCCTTGCAGCCGCTGCATTGGAATGGAGCTCCTTCGCTTTTCAGTATTATTGGATGCTGAAGATGACATGGGTGATTCATCGTCTCTTCAAAATCACTTCCCATTCGTTGTCATCCCTCTTTCCTTTAAACTTTCTTCTGCAGCTTCTTGACGATCTTTTATATGTATATGTATAGCGTTTTTTTTTTCCTGTCCAACGTAACTTTCTTAAGAGCTATTCCCTATATATAAGCTGATATTTCTGAATTTCTATGAAGTTTTCATTTTAAAAGGAAATCTTCATGAAATTTACCAACCTTAACATGAAAGAATTTAAATTCCACATAGATATATAGATATATATCTTTCTTTGTGCGGCTTTTTATTTGGAAAAAAAATGACACTTCCTGGGTAAGAGAAAATGACAATTAAGCCCCAAATATTAAATTAATAACATTTAGGTCCTTAATAATTTTTTTGAAAAATAAATTAAAAATATTAAATCAAATAATTGTAAATTGAATTTTTTTAATTTCAAATATGATATTTAAATTTTACATGTAACTCTCAGGATGGGTTTGCATCAAGAGAAAAAAACTATGAAAGAAAATTTCTAAAAATTGTAAATCTTTTTATTATTTTTTTAAATTTTTCTTCCTAGTTTTCTTTACCCATATTTGTGGGGCTAGTTTGCAACTAAATAACGTTTTGGTTTATAACTGTTTGAATTAATATTTGTAACTCATTTCAGAATATTTTATTGAGGCTTAACTGCCATTAATTTGATCTATTGGGACTTTACCGCTATTCTCTATTTTTATTTTTTAAAATTTTTCTCCCACTTTTTCTTTCTTAAAAAAGAATCTTACATTTTGTAGACGACTTTGCTTTTCCATTTCTTAATTTCTTCTTTATTTTCTCTCTTTTCTCACTGTTGTTTCCCGAAAGTTTCTTCTTCATTTTTTTGGATAACCATTTAATAAAATGCACATATTCATTACTTTATTAATGCATTGCATGTTTTAAAAAAAATTTATAATGCGGAAGATGCCAACAAGTTTCTTCACAAATAAATACACTACTGATCGTCACGGCATATTATATCGTTGACGAAGAAAAACAATATAAATTTATCCAAAAAGAAAAAGAAAAACAATATAATTAATTGATATATATCTTTTATCGCCAAGAAATCTTGACGTATACCTTTTAGAATAAGAATCATCAGTAGATTATTTTTGGACAACAGAATCATGGGATGATTAGCTGAACCAAAATATATAATACACACAACACACACTCATGCATCCATGATTAGGGTTGAAGTAGGCCAAGTAGTATTAGGGGCTTCTTATTTATATCTAGTTTTAGTCTATTTATTAATATTTAAATAGGCCAAACCAAGTTTAAGCTTATATAAAAACTTTAATTTGCTTTCTGTCACTAGAACTTGAAACCACGCGGGAGATTGAATTACACTGAAACTCAATCTTAGGCATGCAATAAATCACTGAGAATTGAGAAAAGAGAGAACCTGAGAGGGACAGGGAGACTTCAAGCATTTATTTATTCTATGTTTTTCTCTAATGTGTGGGACTAACTCCCAAAGCACCAATTTGACCAAAAGAAAAAAAAACAAAAACAAGAAACTCCCAAATGGGCTGGGCCCAAATCCACCAAGAGTAGACTAAATTAATCAAATAGAGTTGCATTTATCATTATTTTAAAAGATTGATTAGGTGTATTCAAAAGAACCTTCTGGATATTCTTATGAACACACCCTGACGAGGCACATTTAAAAGAGGTTAAAACAAGAACAGAAAAACCAGTAATATCGCTGATCAGTTTATGATCAATTCACAATCAGTATCTTGAACTGAATAAATATTCAAAACCCTACCTGAGTAATCTGAGAATCCGACTCAGGAAAAAAGGACAATGCTTGTGAGCTCTTGAAGCAGACAGATGGAAATGTGTCCTTATATTGGGTAAGCGGAAGTGCGAGAAGGTTTGAACATGGTTAGGTGTATAAGTCTAGTTTTCCAAGTCTTCTATTGGAATGACACAAATCCATTGAAAATTCCGAAGACTGAGTTTAACTTTCGAGTAAAATAGAAATATTTAGGGAAAATGATAAAAAAGTCCCTTTGAAATATATAAATAATAATTTGATCTCGTAAAATGTCATAATTTTTCTGAAATTCCTAAGAAATTTTCTGTCATTAATGAATTTATATAAATTACCAAATTGGTCTTATTCAAAATAAATGATTCACAACTTTTCTTTTTATATTCGCAACTTTATTTTTTATATTCGCAATAATGCAACAACAAATCATAACTTCACATGTTAAATTTTTTATTTGCTGTTATATTATTGCGTATATAAGATGCAAAGTTGTGAATATAAAAAAAAAGTTGCGAATTATTTATTTTTAATAAGGGTAATTTGATAATTTATATAAATTTATTAATGATAGAAGAAAAGTCTCTAAGGACTTTAAGAAAATTATGATATTTTGAAAGATCAATTTATCATTTATATATTTGAGAGAGATTTTATTATCATTTTTTTAAATATTTATTGTTTTGAATAAGTAGGTAATTTATTTGAATCGCACATTTTCCAAGTCCTGTGTACATTTATCGACAACTTAAAAAAAACAATAAGTGAAAATTTCTTCTAAACTGATTCTCTAGTCTAATCACGAGATTACTAAAATGATAAGACTGAATTAATGAGTGTGTCGTTAAGAAGCTTCGATATCAATTTCAACTATAAAACTATCAATGAGTATAAGCAGAGGCGGACCTACGTTTAAATGAGGGTGGGGATATGCCCCCCTCCCCTCAATTTTTGAAATTACCATGTTAACGTGTGATAAGTTGACATGATGCCCCCTCTCATCTGCAAAACTTGAACCCCCTGAGCAAGATTGAAGAAACAAAACGGGTAGATGGATTCGAAAAAGTGAGATAATAGATGAAGCATTAGAGAACCTTATGAAAGCTTTATATTTCAATAGCGGGTTTCAAATTGAGTTTGCATGCCGGAAAATGAGAGACAATGTTCGATAGAAGAAGAAGAAGAAGAATAGTGGAATAGGTTGGATGTGTGGGCGATTGCGTGCAAGAGTGGAGCAAAATAAAAAGGGGATTTTTTTTTCAAAAAAAAAAACATGAAGAGAGTGTAATCAGTGGGTGGAGTTTTATTAGTAGGCATTTTTTATAAGTTATGTTTGGCCTAAAATATAGGATATTTAATAGTTCTTATTTTTTTTCAACTATATCTTTATATTTTTATTTATTTTGAAAAATGGTCTATTAAAATTTCAATTATCATTATTAAGCTATTTCTATAAGATATTTAATGAAATTATCATTAAAAAGATATATGATTTTTTTAAAGATTAAAATTTTAACTAATTATTTTGAGAATCATAAAATAATTACTAATACCCTATAGCATGGACCAAATGGAATAAGTGTGAGTTTAATTATATGATCATTTAATTGTTTGTGATTAATTAAAAGTTGGTAAAAATTATTTAGTACAGTAAGATTATAAATTCATTTATTTATTAATGGAAAATATAATTTTTTATAACATAAGTTTTTTTTATTACTCATGGTATTTTTTTATTGAAAATAATTATATACAAAACAGATACAAAATATAGGCACCTTTTTCTATCAAGAATTTGATAAAACATTTAAATATATTGTTATAATATTATTATTACTTTTTTGAAGAAAATCTATTAAATATTGCCCCCATTGGGTTAAGGTCTTCGGCCCGCCACTGAATACAAGATTGTTGGGAAAATGTCATGAACGATCATGTTTCTTGTGTTCAAGACACGTGGAATGAAACCAAACAAGTGATGTGGAAGCGAAAATCGGAGGATAGTAATATAAATATGAGGAAGATTAACTAGCTTTTAAAAAAAGTTCTGTAAATTGAGAAGAAAGAACAAGGAAGAGCTATTATTGAGCGGGTCAAACAACAAAGGGGCAAAATTTTCCACGCTGAGGGACGACCTGAATATTACGCGTGGGAGCACACAAGACGTCGACAGCTTTTAATTGGAGAAATTTCCCACGAGAGTCACGGATGATCTTGGCGGCCTCACCTCTAATAAACAAGCTTAATCTATTGCAGTGCGAATTACTTAACCTATACATGCTGTTTCCTCAGAGTTTTGCAACAGTAATATGGTATTTAATAGGAAGAAATCCATAGTCCTTTTTTTCTTTTTCCCCCGCATTCATTTAATCTGGATTCTTTTTGAATCGGGTGATGATCTTTATTAGCTAGAAAATCCCACAGGCAAGAGCATTGCGTAAGTTAAGGCAAACGGAAAACCACAGATTCCTCTTTCTTTATATCATCGCAAGTCTCCACTCTGAATTTGTGATTTTCCGATTGATTCATGTTTTCCATTAATGGTCATAACACAGTAAAGATCGAGTATTCGGTGAGGGTCATTATATATCCCAAAACTGCGGTAGCGAAAGTTGAGGATAGATCCAAAGAGCTCCACACCGTCTAGTTTCTGAACAAGTTATTGCATATAACAATCTGACGTTAAAGCACTACTCGCCGAGCTGGGTAGCGTCAGCTTGTAACCCGAGAGGGGACTACAAGGCAGTGAAACATGGCTAGTGTTTGGCTGGACTGGGCTGTTAGTTGCTTTGTGCTGGCTTGCCCGCTCCAAGAAGAGAGTTGAGCCATGGGATTTGAGCGAAAGCTTGGATCTCGTGGCTCCTGGACAAGTGGGGACTGCGTGAGGCTGGTTTCACAGAACAGCGAGCACCTCTGGCTCTCTTCAGTGGAGGGATTACAAGTCGCTGCTCTTCTGGCCCACAATGCCCGGTTGGCCTAGCTCCCTGGACCACTGTTTTTATTTATTGCCTCCTGCGGAATGGGCTGGGTCGAGACGATGTGGTTTTATTTGTAGTGCGAACTTCAATAAAATGGATCATTTTAAATTAATTTCTCCATTTACATGCATCAAAATTTCATTGATCTGGTCTTGATTTAGATTCAAATTCATATTTTATCCATGTTTGAACATGCATGAGAATTTGTATTTAGTTCATGTTCCATTATAATTTTTTACAA